AAGCTTATATGTGCCATAATCGGGGAATGACTGTACGACAATGTAAGGGCCTTTGAACTGAGGTTCTAGTCCATATCTGCCTTCATGGCTTAGCATCACGTTATCACCAATTTCAAATGACGTCGGTTTGACTACAGAATCCCATTTAGCTTTATCTTTTTCTGCCATAGCTTTCATTCTGAATGTTGCAGCAGCACGATGTTGACCTAGGTCAGATAATGCACGAGAAGTAATGTCATCAACAGTTCGAGGGTCAGAGAAAGTAGTCTTGTCAATATACGGAGCAAAAGTATCACCTGGTAGTCTTGGTTCTCTACCATAAGTCAGGAAAAAAGGAGAATAACCAGTGGTTGAGTGTACACGGATTCTTGAAGCCCAGAGGGCAGCATTCACGAAGTCATCCCATCTATGCAGGGCACCATTTATGTATTTCCGAAGCATTCCTTTAATAACAGCGTTGAAGCGTTCCACCTTCGAGTTAGTGCGAGGATGATAGGCAGATGTAAGCTTATGGTGAGTACCAGCTCGTTTCAGATATGCATTTACTAATCCACTGTTAAAGTTAGCACCACGATCTGTCAAAATCTCGGAGGGACAACCAAACTTCATCATGATTTCTTCATATATAAAATCAGCAACAGCTTCTTTTGACGCCACCGGAACAGCACGAGCAACAGGCCAATTTGTAGCATAATCTACAGCAACTAACAACCACCGATTACCTTTCAGTGTCACAGGTAATTCACCAACAAAGTCCAAGTGCCAGCGATCAAAAGCAGCGGGAACCTTAAGTGGATGCATGACGTCTTGATGTATTCTTGTGCGTCTACTATTTACTTGACAGGAAGGACAAGTCTTCAACCATTCTTTAAGATCTTTCTGCATAGTGTGCCACCAGAAACGAGGAAAAAACATCTTAAGCATAGTCTTGAAACCAGCATGACCAAAGGTTTCATGATACTTAGCAACAGTATCAGCACGAGCAGCAAAGGGTAAGAAGGGGACTTCCTTGACAGTCTTCTTATCATCGATTTCCACCTTTCTGTAAACTGTATTGCCACGTACAACAAACTTATCTGCATTCTTCTCGACCATCAACTTCAGCTCAGGGGACTTGATCTTATCCATATTCAGGTAGAAGAGAGGCCAGTCTTGTTGTACAATGAGGGAAGCATTTTTCAGGGACCAAGTAGCATACAAATAATCAGGTTCAATAGATGTAGCACAAGTAGTGGAATCAGGGCCGTCCAAACGGGAGAGCACATCTGGGACATCATTTTCCTTGCCTGGCTTGTACTGGATATCAGGAGCAAATAGTTCGAGTTCAGCAATCCATCGTACCAATCTGGGAGTTGGTTTATCTTGTGATCGTAGATATTTGAGAGGGAGATGATCAGATAGCACCGTATATCCACCTTTACATCCATCAACAAAACAACGCCAGGTTCTTAATGCATGTATGATACCAAGTAACTCACGTTCTTGAGCGGGGTAGTTACGTTCAGCAGAGGAAAACTTCTTCGATTCATACGCCACAGGATGCCACATCGTATCAGTATTATCACCAGGTTGTAAAAGCACAGCACCACACCCAAAATCAGAGGCATCTGTTTCAATGCGGTATGGCTTATCCATATCAGGAACTTGCAACACAGGAGCGGAAGTAAGAAGTTCTTTAATGCGGTTAAAAGCAGTTTGACATTCACCAGTCCATGTAATGGGTCTTTTCTTCGGTCCAGTACCACGAGTGAGATCAGTTAGGGGAGAAGCAATGGAAGCAAAACCAGGGATGAAACGACGATAATGTTGCGCAAGACCCATAAACTGTCTTACCTCTTGAACATTATTAAGAACAGGCCAATTCTTGACAGCATCTACTTTGGAAGGGCTAGGCAGAATACCATTTGGAGTAATTTTGAAACCCACAAAGATCAGTTCACGTTTTCCAAATTCACACTTCTTGAAATTGGCTATCAACTTCGCTTCTTTGAGTAGGTTCAGTACATGTCTCACATGCATCTTATGATCTTCTTCGGTTTCACTGAAGATCAGAATATCATCCAGATACACTAAGGTAAACTTATCTAGACAATCACCAAGGACACGATTCATAAGGGACTGAAACGTGGGGGGAGCGTTGGTTAACCCGAAAGGTAAGACCAAGAATTCAAATTGTCCATATCTTGTGTTAAAAGCCGTTTTAGGAACATCTTCAGGGTCAATGCGGACTTGATGGTAACCAGACTTCAGATCAAGACTAGAGAAATACGAGGCGCCTTTAAGACGATCAAGGCATTCATCAATACGAGGAAGGGGATGATTATTTCGAACCGTTAACTTGTTCAGAGCACGATAATCAACACACATACGCATCTCACCAGTCTTCTTACGCACAAACAATACCGGAGCACCCCAGGGAGAAGCGCTCGGACGGATCAGACCCAAAGAGAGTAATTCCTTGATTTGGCGTTGTAACTCATCAAGTTCGGCAGGAGACATCTTGAACGGAGGACGACTAACAGGTTTAGCATCACCAGTGTTAATCACATGAGTTACTTCACGATGCGGAGGAAGACCAGGTAATTCATCTCGGAACACAGTTGTAAATTCTTTGACTAATTTATTCCAGTATTCGTCTTGAACTAGCAAAGGGTTTCTGTCATTCAATTCAGTGTTATTTAGATACATAATATACCCTTCAGCGCCTTGTTTCAAACTACGGTCTACTTGTTTGTGAGAGATTAAATAACCAAGGTTTGGGCGGCCAGGACTAGTATCACGATCGTTGTTACAGGGCACCAACTTAATCTTGTCATCACCATTTCTAATGTACCAGCAATCGGTATTCCAATCGGGCTGTGGGTCTACTTCTTTCAACCAAGCACGGCCAAGGATCAGGTCGAATTTGGTAGGGAATACATAAGCGGATAAGGTATTATTAAATCCATGAATGGCAAGATCAATAATAACCTTTTTGTTAATTTCAGTGGTTTCACCACCAGCAGTTTCAACTTGACGATCATATACCGGACACCAGGAATCGGACAAGGCAGCAATCTCAGGAGACACATAGTTTTCACTAGCACCACTATCGATGAGGATCTTGATCTTGTTACCTTTGAAGGAACCAAGATACAGCGGAAGTTTCGTGGCAATAGTATTTAGTTCGGATAAATACTGGAATTCAGAGACCAAATTATCAGCAGGATGGATCACCGGGAGCAATTCTTGAGTAACCTTCTTGACAGGTTCAGCAGGCACAGGGACAGAGACAGGGGCAGAGACAACAGGAGGACAAACAATCTTAGCAGGAACAATAGGATAAGGATCAGAACTGGCTATTTTATTATTATTAAACGTGGAAACAGAAGACTTATTAATAATATCAGTGTAAGGTTTTGTAGGTTCTATGTTATTTGGAAGGTTTTCAGGAGGTTCATGTAGTTGTACTTCCGGTTCATCAACTACATTTAATGAAAATCCTTCTTGCGATCATTGTTACCAGTGGAGCGGAATTTCTGATATCTTTCTTGTTCTAGCTTGTTAATATCATTCTTCCTTATTCTACAGTCTGCACGACGATGACCCTTGTTTCCACAATAGAAGCAAGTCAGATTTCTACCGGTACGAGGACGAGACTCGGCAACATCTAGATCCATGGGATCATCATGATAACTATTCTGGGCAGGACGGATGGGACGATCTTGATATCTTCTTGAATAGGAACCAACTTCTTGTTGAGCAGCATCATAAGACATGGCTATGTGGATTGCTTCTTGTAAGGTGACAGCATTCTTATGTCTTATCTCAGCACGGATATTCTTGTTCGATAGCCCACGCATGAATCTATCACAGGATTCATCTTCAGAGATCTTTGGCAGGGCAGCGACAATATCCATATATCCATTTATATAATCAATAAGAGAACCAGATTGACTAAAATTAGCGAGTTTATCACGGGCCAGACGAGCGGCGTTCTCCGGTCTGAAATAGGCAATCAATTCTCTCTTCATAGTCAACCAATCTTCGGGTTCTTCTTTCGCGATCTCCAAAGTACGGTACCAAACGTCGGCACGTCCACGAAGGAGAGTTACGGCATAGTTCTTCATTCGAATTTCATCCCAACCATGGAAATCAGCATACCGTTCCAAGGTACGAATCCAGGAATCAATCACCATCGCATCTCTTGTACCATCATATGTTGAGGGTTCAGTGGTTCTATGACCGGTAGGGTTGGACTTGAGAGCACGAGTGAACTCACCGATCAGGGCAGCGATCATTTCATTAGTAGGGGTTACAGTAGGTACAACAGGTACAGACATATCAGTTTGGTTATTAATAATGGGTTCCAATACGAGGATTCGGTTATAGAAACGGTCTATAGTTACGCAGGTAAGTCAAGCAGAAGTAATCAATCAAATGCTACCAATTGTTAGATCACGTATTACAGTTAGAGTGATCTTAGATTGATTACGGTTACGGGAATATATCAGACTTATTACAACGGGTAATAAGTATCAAGTTCTTTAAAACGGTTAAAGAAGTAACAGTTAGAGCAATAAAGCGAAGTAATGAGAAGTTAAAAAAAGATGATGTTTATTGATACAAAATAACAGGGTATTTATATGTTTTCTAGCTATTGGATTGTGGTTATAATATATAAGGTAGAATCCAATTATTATTTAATGATAGCTATGTGGATAATGATGATTGGTGATATGGATAGTCTTCTTCTTCGATAAAGAGGTGTCTTTGATCTGATAATTGAATGTTTCTATAATGGGTGATCCACCAATCATATTATTTAAGTAACTTGATTATGAGACCAATGAGATTCAGTTTAACTCGCTTATCTCGTCTTGCTCGCGCCACTCTGGTGTTAGGTTTGAACCTTCTCTTTTTGGGATTGTATTGAGTCGGAAGATTGTATTGTACTTCTATTGGCTGCTTGTGTTCTACGGATGTTGGACGACTATCATTGGGACTGACACATAATAAATGGTTTCGTGGTGTAGTTGGTTATCACATGTCCTTTACACGGACAAGGCCTCCGGTTCGAACCCGGACGGAATCATTTTAATTTTTTTATGGCATTGGACGTGTGTTGCCTATTTTTATCAAGTTGTACAAGTCAAGCTAATTAAGAAATGATATAATGGTCAATTATCAATCAAAAGAACACCTGAAATAATATATATCAACAGAACATACAATTCAATATAAAACAACTAACATACACACTCTATACATTATCTGACTAAGAGCTGTCATACTTCTTATTATTAATCATATCTTAGATAATTGTTTTACTAATATTTAAATTTTATAATTAATATGTTTTAAAAAAACCAACCTTATGCTTACCTTTCAAAGGAAGTTACGACATAAGAAGCTCGCTATACTATTAAATCAAAAATTAAAATTAAATGATGTATAAGTTTTAAATGTTAGTTTAAAAATAAAAAGTTTTTATTTATTGTATATATTTTATTAATTTAATTAAAAGTGAATGGATTCTCTTAGGCTTTGTAAAAACATATAAATATCCATCATCTTTTATTCAATAAACAGGATCATTTTTGCCTATCTCTTAAGTAATAAATAACGTACATATAAAAACATAAACACCTATCAAGAAAGGTGACAATAGGTGGATATAAGTTTTATATATGAGTTACTTGTTATTTAAGAGATAGGTAAAATGAACGTTTTTATTTATTGTCCACTTTGGAAGTTCGGTCTAGAAAAAAATTTCGGATTTTCCGGCTGACATGTCTTTTTTCCGGTCATAAGAAAGTTATATAAAAATCCACAAGTTTATCTACTTGTAAAAATTACTTAAGAGCCAACTTTGATGAATTATGGTGCACTATGAAAGATTTGGACGGATGAGATCTGCCTGAGCTGATAATTGATCCGTCCAACACTATGCCTGAGATTACCACGGAAATTCGCGATCACCACGTCGGTTCCGTGTTACTAGTTAATTTGCAACTAAGAAACCAATTGTAATAGTCTATATAAATATGGCGGAACATGACAATATACTGCGAAAATATCAAGGTCTTAATACAGTGCACTATAAACACTACGGATGAACTGCCGGTGGTTAAAGTACTCATTCCTTTAAGAATAGGTGTTTTGATCTCTTTTTATTAGCAGGCGAAATTGCAAATGTTGGTGGTTATGATATTCATGTTTATCCAGGAAGGGGTTAACTACTATTTTACACTGGTGTCATAAAACCCTTCTTCAGCAGTTAATGCAATGATTTTAAGGGGGTTATTTTAGATTCAGTTTCTATTTTAGGTATATGTTTGAGCTGATAAATCGAAAAATGGGGTTTTTATATTCATAAAGAGGTATATTGAATCATTATTTTACTATAAAAAACCCCTTTTATAGCTCATTTATGGGATACATTAGGCAATAGAATGACATAATAGTTATGATATACTGGGGGTTTTATTTATTAATAGATTTAAATAGACTAGTAACTACTATTCAGATACAGGGTATATGAATGGGATAATAAACATGGGTACATTGTGGCATATTGCATATATAGACTTCCTGGAAATACTTCTATTTTTTAGTTGGGGACAGATAGATAGAGAGTAGATACAGTAAAGAGTGTTTGTTAGAATGAGTAGATATAAGAATGGTTATAATCATTACATTTGCACAGTTATCAGGGCATCCGTCTGTACTCCAGGAAGTAATCAATCTATACCATTTAACAACATTACCTAGATAGGAGATGGTATTAGTTAACTGCTTATAATCATTGTAATGCAGTTATAGCTACCTTTATTCTTACAGTAACAGTTCACTCACATCAGTGACTATAATAGATAAAGTAATGATCAGTCTCTATTCATTCTCATTATTGTAATATACTAACTTATACACACTTGGAAACAAACAGATTGGTCTCTAATAACATAAGATAAGGTCAAAATTTGGTACTGATGACATCCTTCGAGGTACTTTACCTCACAATACATATTACACCTAGGGATTATCTGCACTGGCATGTTAGATTATATGAAGACAAACATATATTTAATTTACTTACAAGTTCAAATAGTGTAATGACAAAATATAAAGAGAAAAAGAGGGAAAGAAATAGAAGAAGAGAGATTATTTTTATTTTATAGAGCTAAGAAAAAGAATTCAATCACCACTGCCAATACCATTAGGTCTCCTACTTTGGATATATAGTCAGTATCAATCACAGGAAAAATAATAAAATGAAGGATAATTACCTACTGCCCATTAGCTGCCTCAAGTCTCTATTAATATCAACAATAAATATAGATAGAATTAGTACAATATACATCGGATCTACATGTGTTTATAAATTACCAGCAGTCTTCTCCTCTCCACCTGTCTTTCACTCTTCATTGCCTCTTGGATAAGAAGTTTGGCACCCCATTGTCTCTTACAACGAAAGATGGGGTATCCAAAAGCTGTGATTGTTCTTTCACTAAGGCGGATTACTTGGAACATATGTCCAGTCATTGGAACGGTTGGTCCGAGTAAATAAGCTGGAGGCACTCTGACATCCCGGTACTTTTTTGTCCAAAATCTCGACATTTGCCAGGACGGAGTATGGGAAATGCCACTACTACGTTCCAGATCTGTATCACTTCTAGCACATCTAAAGTCTATGACTACATAATAATCAACCAATCATTTAATCATCTATCATTAGGAAATAGCATTCATATTACAGGGTATTATTTGTATTATTGAGCCAATAATCAATATTATTTTATTTATAGAATAGTATTTACAAAAGAGATATATGATACAAATACTAAATGTAAAAGAAGAACATCAAGCATAGAATCATACTATAGAATATAAATTCACATAGAATCTAATCTTCAACCGTAATAGTATTGATTGTCTGTCAGTAAGGGTATCCCAGAAAAAAAGCATATTAAGGTTATCTACAAGACCTAAAGGGTAACAGTTAATAAAAATACACTCTATTCCAATTTCAGCACTTACAGGTACACACTCATTTATACCATGCGAAGTAGTTTCAGTTAGATTTAGAACATATCTATAACAGTAATAGTATTAGAGAGTAGATAGTGATTATGTATTATTCGACTTACATGAACATATTGTTAGGTGATAAAAAACTAGTGAGGATAAGCAGATATCGTTTTAAGTAAAGAGTATATTAATAGATATAAATAGCGATTACCTCCTGTCAGTGAGAATCATAAGCACTACGACTAGAAGCTTGTATGCTTAAGACGATGACTATGAAGAAAAAGTGAATCATTAGAAATTATCAGAGATTATCTCAATTCATACATACACTACCAAGAAAAACAGCACAAAAGCTTACATTGGTACCACAACTAACAATCAAAACCAGAAGCAAGATCGAATATAATATATTAAGCACAAGTATCATCTGTGAAGATATACTTGGATGGAATGTATCTTCCACCTAAACATTAGAATACCCTATTGATAAGAACAATTGTAAGTACAAATAGAACCAATGTGAGTTAAATCATATCAGCTACCTTGGTTATTATTTCTGGAACAGAAAGGAATAATACCTGTGTGAGAGTAGAGCCATCTGATTAGCAGGAAGTGTCATCAAGTGTATTCATTTATACTTGGGAACTATTAGGATACTATCCATTAAAGATAACAACAGTTTGATAGAGACAAGACATATACATAGACCAGAGATATTCTAACAGTTAATTATAATGCCAACAATACAGATCATCAGAATATTTTGTAGTAACGCATGAGAAGTATAAATTTATTAACTTACTAGAAGATATACAAGGATGTGCTAAATAATTAAAAGATGGAAGAGAAAGAGAAAAAAGATCTATCTTACCCATAATACACTATTTTAGTCTGTCATTAATAATATAATGTATACCTACTCCGAAATATATACCTATATAGTTATCATTTCTACAGCAATAAACAAAAAGATTTTCGGCTTTAACAGTACTCATTTCACTGATGTCAAGGAATGTAGTTGAAATGAGGGCATGTGATGAGGTTGGAATGAGAGATGACTACCCATTCTGAAAGTAGAAGAATACAAATATGAAAAGAGAAACGATAAGAAAGATATCTAAATTCCTACTATTTATACAGGTATTATTTCTCAGAGAGCTCCCCCATACATTACACACACACACTTAGTAATTTTCACTTGACTGCTTTATTTTATTTATTTATTTTTTTCTCTTTCCCTCCTTTTCAAAACTATTCTATATCCTAACAACATCAAAACTATATAGAGAACAAGGACAAAAGTTATTAAAGGATATATATGCAGTAGGGGAAACAGTTGGTGTAAGTAGATCACAAGTCATTTGAACCCGATGTGTGGAATGAAAGTGGAATGAGTCGTCATCTCGAGTGACAAACTATTTTTGGAATATGAATATTGATAATATTTTTTTTAGATATTGTCCAGTGCAACAATGGTTATTCATAGAGTATAAGTAAAAGGGAAGTCCCTCGAAAAGAAGATGCGTTGATGAATGTGGCGGATGTGTGGAATGAGTGTTGCAATGAGTAGACATCTGGAATCATAGACAATTTATACACTATTACAGATTATCATAGATATATATAAATAAACAAAAATTGGTTTATACCAGTTGTTAACTTATGGAAGTGTTGAAATATACAAATGGTGATGAAATGAGGGATAGATAACAATAAGGAGAGTAATAGATCATTGACATATGTGCTAGTATAAGATTATTGTTTAATAGTACCCATGGGATAGAACAAGAATGATATACTTATTGTGGTGAATCAATACAGTGGATTTTAAGAGATAGTGATGTGGTGGATATAGAACGATTGATTCAAAGTACGATGATCTCCCATAGCCCAGTGATGAACATCAAAATAATATGGACTGGAAGAGGAGTACACAAGAGATGAACAAAGACAAAAGAACAGTTGTCAATAACCTAAGAAATAATATTGACTGAATATAACTTAAAGAACAATAATTACTGATGAATAGAAGTGAGATGGCATAGATTATGTCTCTATCGAGTA